GAACCTGAGTCGATCCCGCCAGCGCCTGCCGAAGTGCAAATGGTGCCGGAAGACGACGGCCCGGATCTGCTTGCCGGTTTGGAGACGGAGCTTGATCGCCAAGCCGAGATTAGCAAGTCTCCACTCCCCGAACCGCCTGCGGCCCCGCATCCGGAGCCAGCGGAGCTCCCTGAGATTGCCAACCCGGTGCCGTTGCCCGAAGTCCCGCCCATCGAGCCTGAGAAGCCCGCACAAGAGCCAACAGAGGCGGCGGCGGCCACTGAGAATGCCCTGGTCCCAGAGGTCTCAGAAGTTGCGGAGGCAGAGGCGGTTCCTGCTGTAGCTGCTCCTCCCTCGGCTTCGGAACCGGCACCGGCTGAGGAAGCTGCCGCGCCCACGGAGACGCCAGCTGCAGAGACGGCACCCACGGAGGAGCCAGAGAAAAAGGCGGAGGAGAGCTCGACTGATGCCGTTGTACCCGCAGCCGATGCCTAGTTTGCGTTTGCTAAAGTGGATTTGTCGAGGTACACTACTTGTCCGGGGGTGTTGGAAGCTATTGGTGTTTGACAAGGCGTAAAAGGAGAAAAGGCAGGCTTAGGCTTTGCCTCGTGTCTAAATTGTATGATGGAGTACCTTACTGTTAGATGTTTGATTGGAACACGAACGCCGTTGAATCGGCAAAGATGCCTTGACTTGTTTTTTGCTTCACGTTTCGACTACTCGTCTTTCCGAAACCGACGCCTTGGTGAACGAATTTTGCTCGGGGAACATTTCCCCTTGGATTTTGTTTGATCGAATGTACGGATATTTCAACTATATACACAAAACCTCAAGCCTATTTTTTCTTCTTCTTCCTTTGCCCGCGCGGGACCAGTGAAGGGAGAGCCAGCCTTTACCATTCCAGAACAATGCTATCCCAAATGAAACCTCTCCACGTCGTATTCCGCGTAAGTTGGAACGTGACCTCGTTCTCCCCCTGCTTCAGGAGCGCACCAGGGACGGGGAACTCAAACAGACGCCACTCGCCCGCCGCCGTGGCGCTGCGGTACACGGACGGGTCGTTGAGCAGTCCCGACGTGGAGTCGACTCCCACGGCGCCGCTGGTGAGGTTTCCCACTTGCTGTCCGTTGGCGAGGACGACGCTGCTTGCGCCCGTGGAGTAGCCCGCCAACGAGACGATGAGATTCGCGGACGCGGGGGCCGGGTCGGGTAGGGTAGGGATGCGGAAAGAGATTGTGTAGTTTCCCTTATAGGTCTGGCCGTAGCACCAGTCTGAAGTCTTGCTTGCGGAGCAGGTGCTGTTGCTGCCGGTGGTAGCGGCGCGGAAGACGATGTTCTCGGGACACGAGGCGATGATGGCGTGGCCGAAATACGGGTCTCCTCCGTGTGCGAAGCCGAGGGATGTGCGATCAAAGTCGCCGACTTGGAAGAGCTTGGTGCGCTTCGAGACGGCCCAGTTGAGCGTTCCGAGGTCCGTCGTCTGGCCTGACTCGGTGACGTGGACGTCGTTGAAGAGGATGTGCGTCGTCACGTCGGCGAGGGCGGCGCCGGCGGACCAGGCTTGGAGGGCGTAGCCTGCCGAGGTGGTGCGGACGTGGGGGATCTCAAAGGCGCCCGAGGCGTCGGTGTATGTTGTGTAGTAGTAGTCTGAGCCCATGTCGAGGGCCGTCTTGTTGGGGTGGTTGTCGCCGAGGAAGACGGCGGCGCCGGCGGCGGGGCGGCCGTCGGAGAGGAGGAGTTTGCCCCTGACGGTGCCGCGGGATTGATAGGCTGCGTCGTCGAGCCAGGGGTAGGGCCAAGAGGCGAATTCGGAGGCGGCGCGGGAGTCTGCGTCGGATTTGCAACCGTCGTTCTAGGGAAGGTGGGTGGGGGTTAGTTTTGATGGAGGTTATCGAAGAGAAATAGGGGGATTTCACGTACGAGATACCAGAGCCAGGGACCCCACATCTTGCCGACGGGGAAGACGTCGACGGCGGAGACTTGGAAGTGGGTGCCGTGGACCATGTTGAGTTGGACGGCATCGCCGGTGGCACTCTCACGGTGGACCTAGGAGATGTCAGCGTGATGTCCCGAGATCACTGCTACAGACCAAAAACGTACCATGAGCTCCTGCTTCAAGTGGTTGCCATTGTAATAATCCTTGCCCGCATTGATATACCAGCTCCCAACTTCATCGCCATACACGCCATAATACTTTTGCGTGCGGATGAAGTCAGAGAAGTCGTACTTTGTGATGTACCCCGTGCCATCAGGCGTGCGCCAGGTCTCGTCTTGGACCTTGTTCTCAGGTAGGTAGTCAGCCAGCTTCGGTAGCGGCTTGTCGTGGAGGTCCGTCTTTCCGTTGGGAAAAGTGGTGTTGTCGAGGCGCCAGAGGGTGCGGAACTCGCCCAGGGTGGGCAAATTGCGATTGACAAAGTACTGGTAGGCGCCGGCGAGGCCTTGGAAGATGACCCAGTGGAAGTCGCCGTCATTGGCCGTAAACTTGACGTCGATGAAGGGGGTTCCTTCGTGGGTGCCCTTTTTGGCGATGGTCGCGGAGGACCAGGCGATGTCGTTTGCGGCGCCGTCTAAAAAGATGAGCGTCAGTTCCACATTTGGGAAGTTTCAAGGTTCTCGATGAGGGTATTCACGTACTGTAGCTTACGTAGTGGCCAACGGCGTTTCCGACCAGGTCGCGGTCTTTGTAGTACAACTTCACGCCGTACTTGAGACCTTGGGTCATGTTCCACACATCATTGCCAATGATCCACGTCTGGTTATCGACCTGCCTAAGGAAAGGTTCGGTCTGTGTCGGGGCCGCGAAGGCGTTCGAAATCAACCCTCCAAGGGCGGCGGCGAAAAGACTGCTTCTCATCTTGGCAGACAAAACTTCGACGTCACGTCAAGAGTGAGAGCAACGACGACTAGAGTCCGCAAGGTTCACTCTTTCTTGTATTCTTCTACCGCTCAAGCAGGCACCGAGGGAAGACTAAATAAGCCCAATGACCTGAATGGCGACTCAAGACCCTTACTCGAGCCTATCCCGAACAAGCATTGAGCCGCGCAACCGGCACGCCGGTGCCGCTCTTCTCCTCATTCTTACCCCTCGTGGTTCGTGGGTTCCGTGGGGAAGAGAAGCGCATGGTTTGTATTGCTTCTTTTTCGCCCTGAGTATGCGGAGTGGTGAGTGGTGAATTGGTGAGTTGACTGGGGGAGGCAACGTCAATCGGTCAAGATTGGGGCGGGCGCATATCGCAAGCAGGGCACTACCCCGTTCCCCGCAATCCAAGTAAGCTTAGCTGCTAGCAAACGGCGAGCTTTGATGGGTGGAAATTCAGATATCAACCTAGTCTTGCCTCGCTCCTTTCGGGAGAGCGGCTGATTGGGATTTGAGGAGTAGCCCGGACTTTGAGCTCTGAGCGCAACTAGGTTTTTTTCGAGATCGCCAAGCTATCCCCGAGGACATATGGTGCTAGCTGCTGCATTGCTTGAATTTGGGGGAATATTAGGCATGGGGTAACCCCGACTTCGGGGTACCATGGACCGAGGGTTGGGGTAGGTGCGTCGTCTTATGAAGTTTGACCTGCCCGAAGTGCTTGATATGCAGCATCTTGTTGTCATGAACTGTCATGAGCTATCGTTTCGTGTGGCCGAGATTGCCGGTCAACCGATTGGAGTTTGGGCTGAGATTCCTGCAGATGATGACATTGGGATGCGGCCCGATTTGCTCGGAGTTGAGATATTGCGTCTAGAGATCTAGGTACTGTACGGATACAAGTGGACAGAACAGACCAGGTAAGGTAGATGCTGAAACCAAGTCAATAAGGAACCATGTATAATAAATTGTGCAATCTTACCTTACGAATACTTGCTCACTCTGCTTGCGTACGACAAATCAAGCATCGGGTGCTGGAGTTAGAGTACTAACAAGCCTCCTGTATCCGTCGACACCGCTCCTTCCATCTCGAAAGATAAGTCGGGGCACGAGCAAAGACAAATTGACAACAACAGAATCCGAGCTCATACTTCCGGGATATGGAAGGTTAATAGATTGTTGTTGACTAGATGTAACCGTACAGAGTACGGATACCTTGCCATAGTAAGGTGAGAGATGTCGGTGAGGAAGATGTCGAGTCAGAAAATTCATCAGCCACACATTATGTGCACAAACCAAGGCTTGGGTTGCAGCACTTGTGGCTGAGTTTATACCAGGTGTGGTAGCGACAAGGGAGGGAGGTGCCGACGGAATGGAAAGCCTCGGGAAGGCACCTTACGGATAATCTGCAACAAATCATTCCGAGTTTGGATTAATCAGCCGTGACAAACACCGGGAGGGACCAAAGGAGATGAGAGGGACACATTATGAGGAGTCTGCCGTAGTGTAGATGATAGATGATAGAGGTAAACCATAAGGTACCTAGATGAAACTGCGCTATTCATTGAGCCTGCCTTGTCCGCGTGTTTGCTTGCCTGCCCGATTTCTTGCAGCTGCATCTTCCACGGGCAGCAATGCTGCTCAGTAACATCGGGTCGGGTACGGGGTTGCCGCTTTCTCTCTTGGGTCTTCTGATCGGTCCTTCTCAAGAAGTTGAGCATCGGATATCGCAGACACGCAGGATGATCTAGGCTCTTCCACAGTTTTTTGCTCGCGTGTTAATTTTTCTCCTTGCCATAAGCTACCTTAGTGCAAATGTTTAATGTCGGTATTAAACGCAAGATCGTCAAAGTACCAAAAAAGGCACTTCTCCGGGTCACGTCAATACAAGCTCCCACGTAGCGCTGGGTCAGGATCGACGGCTACCCGAGAGCGAACCAGTCGTGAACATACCTCACAGACCTCTGGGAGCTCGAGCGAACGCACAGAATTGAGAAGACCCTTTCACTCAGAGTCCTTCCCCATCCGTGTCAGTGTCTCACGGCATAGCAATTGGTTCAGATGGATCCCGAGCGGCCGGAACATTGAAGACGCCAAGTCGGCGCTGAATGGATACTCAACGGCCCGTCTGATGGAGACCAGCAAGACAACACTTTCGGTGCCCGGCATGATGGGATGTCAAAGTCACCAACCAGCAAGACTGTCAGACACGGTCTATTCGGAGGCCGAAGTGAACGCCGGAACGGTCACCCACGGAGATGAAGATGGAGATGGAAACACCAGGGATCATGGCAAGACGGGTGCTTACTTACGAAACTTTCCACAAGAACAGGAGCTTAAAGTGTGCCCATCACGCCACTCAACACTATGGCCAGCCCGGTCATATTATTGTAAACCGAACTAACAGTAACATTACGAAGGATTCGGCATCATCCGTACCGTCTAGGCGACAACGAAAGAGAGTTTGTGTTTGAGCTGCACCAGGTACGGGTCCCTGCAGGGGAAAGGACGGCCTGGCCTGCCACGCCTGGCTCAACTGAGCACAAGTCTCCAGCCTCCCAAGAGGCTATCGTAGCCGATCCAAAGTACGAGCAGGCCCCAGCGCGTGCCGCCGTCGCTGCCGCGCCGCGTAGCGTGGCGCCAATCGCATCCAGAAGAATTCTCGCTGATATTCTGGTGCCTCCGTCCTTTGCACCTACATACCGGAGCTTCACGTTTGCATCACTTTCACTTTGACGAGTGCCACACTCATGCTATGCTCCGTAATGTGCGAATACCCTGAGTGGAAGAACTGAACCAGGGGCCCAGAGCGGCGGAAAGCTTGCCGAAGATGAAGGAAACATGAAAGAGAGGAAGGTGACGGTGATCGATCCCATACGGCCCCGATCCGCGGTGTCTGGACATGCCGGTTTTGGCCCCCATCCGACGCTACCTTGCGCCGCAGACCATGTACTCAGAGAGAGAACCTGAGAGATGCATCCATTCGGCGGTTCGGCGGTTCTTTCTCCTCCCCTGACAACGGCAGGCCTGGATGAGACTGGACTGTTCCCCGCCGTCAGTCCCTTTACCTTTCTCACTTTCCGAGGTCCTCTCCGCATGACGTTGATCAAGCCTCATCCAAGCCTGACTCGCAAAGCCTGGCGAGACGCCATTCTCTCATTTATCCTCACACCCGTCACGCCCTATTCTAGTCCTGACGCCAGAAAAGAACGGCCACCGGCCAGTCCCATGGTTGCCTCACTTCCCGCACCGTCGATTGACATCAGATGCTCCCCAGAAAGACCAACCTCAAGCTACCCTACTACGCAGCCGTGACAGCCACGGTAGTGTAGACTCTTGCTAAGTTGCCTCAACTCAAACCCGCACGGGGGTGTCTACCGGGGTGGCTGAAAGTCAAAGTTGCCGTTATTCTGTGTGTGTCTCGTGGGTTACACTCAACAACGTCCGAATCCCACTGGGTCATCCCCTGTGCCAACCCTCAAGTCCTTGGTCTGTGCAGCTTCAAAGAGAGAGACGCATGGTCCAACTCGTCCAAGAGCTTGGCATCTCCCTCGATATCGCACGTGGGCGAACCGGCACCGACAAGTTCACCAACCATCAACCGACCTTTTTCAGCTTGTGTGTGCCTATCCCAACTTATTAACGCGTGGGTCCCGTCAAGGATTTCGCAGACTGAAGCAGGAAGTTTGCATCTTCGACCCTCTCTCAATTCGCTCTATCGATTAATCAAACAAAAGAGATTCCATCAAAAAAGTAACGTAGCGTCTCGCCCTTCGGGATTAGGGTCCGCTTCACGCCATCGAAGCCACGGCAGACACCAGTGCCGATCACTGACGCGCCTCGAGCTCGCAGCCGGTAAACTCTAATCCCACGCTTGAACCTTTCAGGGGGACCAACGAGGGCAGAGCCTAACTGTTTGGGCCTTCATTTGAATCTAGACCTGCGAAAAAAAAGAAAAAAAGAGGATTACCTACCGCCTGGATGGAAATACCCGCTCTTGTGCGTCCCTTTACGAACTTTTGGACGTGGAATGCTATCAAACAACGCGACCTCCTGACGTCCTAATCATATCATATTTCCCTTTTCCCACCGTCTTTCTGCCTACATTACCTATATTCGTCCCTTGGCCCCCACGCCCCGTCCAGCGGTCCCGGCTCCCGGGACGTGTGGTCTGCCTGCTTCTTCATCGACCGGTTCCGTTCTCCACGAAATCCTTCGCGGCCAATCCCCAGGTTTCTCGTTCCCACCGGTCGTCAACTAGTTCCACATCCCCGCAGCTTCGGTCTACCTACTTGACTCTTTGTCTGCCTTCATGGTTTGCGGTTTGCCTGCGTACATTCCAGGCTGGCACTCAACCGGCAGACCCGCAAGGCTGGGCGCAGTCGACCCCATGAGCGATGGATTTTGATGAAGAAACCAAGCCAAATCCGACAACCTTGAACATGAGCTCCAACGTGAGCGTTAGAAGCGAGTCTATCAGCGCTTTCGACCCTGCTACCCAGCAGCAGAATGGGTCAAAACCGCCCATCAAGCGCAGGTCTCCAATAGCCTGTCGGAGGTTCGTCCTGCTCGCCAGTGCGGCGGACATATCGCGAACTTGACGAGCTAAACTGTGTCCCAGATGCCGTCGGATGAGGAGCAAATGTGTGCATGAGAAGGGACAGCCGCCGTGTAAATCCTGCGCGGAAGCCGGCATACCAGCGAGTGAATGGTACCGTCCACACCGAGCAACGTCCGTGACGCGATCTCGAAGCTAATCAACGACAGCATCTTTCCCCAACGAGGCCAGCCGGATCTCGACCGCGAATACCGGCATCCTCGCTTGAGGGCTGAGAAGGCCGCGAAACGGGAAGCCGACAAGGCTAGACGTAGCGCGTCAGATGCTCAGGTCCCTCGGGGTCCCGGCGCGCCAGCTCTTCGTAAACCTGCAGACGAATGGGAGCTTCTCCCACCACTACCCGAAATCATCGACGCAGTTCACGGATTCACCCGCAAGTATTTTCAGCTAGGTTTCATTCCGAAGGAGCTTTTCCCCCGGCAGCTGCAGCAAGATCACCGTTCCGTCAGCGTCTTCCTTGTACTCGGTATCCTCAGTGTCTCTGCTCGCTTCTCCCCAGCCCTGGCCCAGAGATACCATGGGGAGATGGAAGCCGTCGACTTCTTCATGGAACGGGCTAGCAGCCTCGCGCTCAACGAACTGTACCAAGAGCCTACCCTAGAGAGATGCCAAGCCTTTTATCTGTTAAGTCTAGCGCAGCAAGGCGGCGGTATGAGGAACAAAAGCTACGTGAGTTCCCTGCATGGAGTATTAATACGGGCAGTGCTGAACGCTTGCTAGATCAACATTGGCATTGCCACAAGGATGGCCGTCTTGATGCATCTGCATCGCGAAGAGTTCTACAAGATGAAGAATCCCACGAGGGAGATGATTATCAGGGCGGAATCTGCACGGAGAACTTTGGTTAGTTGGACAATGCTTCAAAGGGGGGGAGAGCTCTGCTAACAAATATATCATAGTGGATGTTACACAGTCTGTGATCACGAACGAAGACGAGCGTGGCTTTTGCTAACAACACGTAGGCCAGGACAATCTCCATTGCGGTGCTCTTTCCCCCGTGTCACTAGCTGCCAACGACATCACGGCTCTTCTCCCTAGTAACGAGGAGGACTTTGCCTACGGCCGTGAGCCCTTGTCCCGTGCCGCGCTCGAGGACACGCCGCCAGCTCGCGAGAACCCTTCATTGATCCACCAACCGTCTCGATCATTGTTCGCGAGTCTGATGCAAGCACATTATTATTGGGGGAAAGTCGCTCGTCGAGCGTTGGCAACGATGAAGAGCGCCAATCCTTGGGATCCGACGAGCGAGTACGCCATTACAGCAAAGCAGATCCTAAGCTGGGAACAGCAGCTTCCGCAAGATCACCGATGGAGTATGGTTCTTCTCAAAGGGCACAAGTCCGTCGGCGAAGATCTGGTATGTGCCAAGATTCACTGCGGTTGGAGTTGGAGTTGACAAGTTCAGGCCTACCTCGGTGTCACTATGATAACGAAACTATGCAACATTGTGCTGAGGCGTGCGTATCTCGAGAAGTAAGCCCAACCACTCTTCGTCCTCCTCCTCCTCCGCAAATACTGACCTGAATAGCATCATCAAACCAGACGAGAAGGATATGCAACGCCGGGCGTTTTTCGCCAACATGTCCGACGACCTCTTCCGAAACGTGCGAGAGTTGTACGAGCAAATCGATGCTCAATTCAGCGTCAGATCCTCGGAGGAAGGTGTGGGAGCCCAGATGGCGTCGTTCTGCGTCTACAGCTGCGGCCTTTTCTCGACCTACCTGGTCAAGTACCGGAACAGTGAGTACCCAGAAGCCGTCGAGATGTAACCGCATCGTGCTAACCATCCTAGTCTGCTCCGATAAGAACATTGTCGCGCAGGCTCCGAATATGCTCCAGCGGTGCATGTCCATCCTCATCGAATCTAAGCAGACTTGGCCCCTCGCCTCCCGCTGGCTCGAATCTCTGGAGCGCTTCTCGCGTGATCCCAAAGCAGCTGCCTTTAGTCTTGAGGGCAGTATGGCCGACGGCGTAAGTTCCAGCCCCTATTTCCAACCCAATGGTGCTTGAGAAGGGAAAAGCTGACGAGAATCATATCAGAACGACCGAACCCTCCGACCGCTCCATCCCTCGCCATCCAACTTCACAAAGGGCCCACGCGCCGAGGCACCCAAGTATCAGCTCCCAGGCCCGCCGCCGACCCCGTTGAACGAGAAGAAGCCAGTGCCACTACGACACAGCAGCATCAGCAGCAACGCATCCAACAGCGTCCTCCCTCCCCCGAGCCCATCACCGAGCCTACAACAACAGCAGCAAATGCACCAGCAACACAACTCTGCCTTCCCGCTCCCGCCGCTCATGAACACAACCCACCAACACCAGCCTCAACTCCATCATCAACAGCAACACCAACATCATCAACCCCTCTCTCCACACCATCAACAACAACACCACCTGCTCCAACACCAGCCGCAACCACACCACCAACTCCAACAGCAACAACGCCACCAGCAACATCCTCCGACACCCCAAATGCAACAACACCACCACCAGCACCTCCCCCCAGAACTACATCCCCAGTTCTCCCCACCCATCTACTCCCAAGCACCCCCACCCTACAGCCCCAACAACGGCATGGGCATGCTCGTCCAAGCAGCAGCCTTCGACACCACAAGCCCCATCCTCGGCGCGCCGGCGCAGCAGCAGGCTTCGCCATCATCAACGAACCCGTACGATCCCACCACGGCCGCGGCGGTGGCGGCGTTTTACAATTCCCCAGGCTCCGCGTCCATCGTTCTCGGCCCCGGGACAGACGGCTTCGAGTGTGAGCTCCAGAGCTGGTTCGACGGCACGGCGCCGGTCCAGGCGACGAGCTGGATCGGGAACGGGGCGGCTGGTCTCGGGTGGTTTGGGTCCACGTGAGCTGTTCACACTGAAGCGATGGCCTTCATCGAGGCAGAAAGCAAAGAACGGAATCAGAGAAGCCAAAAGAAAAGATTGTGAAAGTGCGCGTGTGCGTGAGGAGAAAAAGTGCTATTCGAGCGTCAATCTGAGCGATTCAGTCATTTCCTTTTTTATACATCAACCCCCTATTTAATCATACCTAGAGATCCGGCGCCAGGTTCGGGGAAATAAGGACAGGAGATAAAAGATAACAGAGTCAGCAGTACTTGCGCCA